TCGTCAACAAAGAAGAAAGCATCTTACGACTATCCGCCGTCCTCTGAAGAACTTGTTGAATCGCGATCGACATTCCAGAAAGAAATAAGGCGAACTACGGCATCGATACGACGTCCAAGTAGGTCGATGATTCTGGTACACTTCCTTCAGCCCCCAGCAGATCACCGTACAAAGGACGATAACGAATTACGCGATCTACTGCGCGGACTGCAAAACAGAATTCGAAGAAGTAGAAACGGCACAAAGCGAGGAGAAGATCGTCCAAAGGTGATCCTCCTATTATCCTACCCGGTGCAATATTCCTCTCGCGACATCCAACAATTCCATCAGGTCGAAGCCGAGCGGGAAATTTTTATCGTGGGAAATTCTGCTCGAACGCCACGAGGCGCGACAAAAGCCTCAAGTCGTTCCCCGGCAATACATATCTCGCGAAAGTTTATATTTCGTCGAATGTCGAACGCTGTTTGCGCGCTAGACGTATGTATATGGAACGGATCGATAGCTTCGGCTACTCGCGAGGTATTTCCGCCCCGTTCAGCAGAAACAGAGAAGATACACTTAGGCTGCGGCGTGTTTACTACAGATAAAATTTTGCCTTCTCTCCCCCCGATGTTTCCGTGTTTCTTTGCCGGAGAAAAATGGGAGAAGGCTCCTGAGTTGTTCATACTCTCCTCTTCGAAATAAAATGTTTCCCTAATTAACGAACTCCCTTTCTCGCGAAAATAGTTAAATCGTCTTCCCGTGAATTCATTCAATTCGTGCGGTTACACAGTTGGCATTTTTACTTAACCTTTTTAACCGTGGATGACGAGTTAATCTCGTCATGGAAAGCTTCGAAAACGACGTATATAAATTTAAAGTTGTTACGTTTTGATTTAAACTTGATTTGTTTCTTTTTTGTATCACCCGGGTTTTTCCACTTTCATTTCGCGCACACTGCAAATCGCATCTCTTCGCATTTACTGCGAACACGACGGTTTAATTCGGCGTGTTTTTCCCTTGAGATAAGCTCCCAGTTATTGAACAGAAAATTCCTCTAGTAAACTAAAATCTACACTTCAGGGTTTGAAAATTTGGCGAACTCTCTCGCAGAGTATCGTTCCATGATTAATTTCACGAGGTAGACTTTATTTTAAAATAAAATAAAATAAAAAAAAAATTCAATCCCGAATAATTCGTGCAACTCCGTGTTCCTTCGTGTTTCTTCACTCTCTAAACAGATTGCACAAGGGGATAGAAGCCTCGATCAAAGTTAACGGACACGACCGAGAGCCGGGAGAAAACTGGAATGGAAACGCGAAGACCGGAAAAGCCGCGGTAGGATCCAGGAACGGCTAGAACGACAAGGCCATCGGAATGGACGTTCATCGTCGCGCCAGAACGGTTTTATCGTTCTAGACGCGGGATTTATTTCCGCAATGGTTGTTCAGCGGTGAAATCCACGAACAACTGGATTTGCCGGGACGAGATAAATCTGTCCATCCACGGAGAAGGTCCCCCGGTCAACGGGAATACGCAAGAAGATGAGAAAAGGGACTTCGATCTCTCCGAGGCTCTCTCCGCCTCGTGATCTTCCGCTATTGCAAAATTATGTCTCTTCTCCTTCGTCCTCTTTTTTTTTTCGCCTCGTCGAAAACTCGGAAGACTTTGAGAACAGCCAGAGAAATATTGAGAATCACTTGCCATGAGAATCCATCGACCATGAAGAAAATCCTCGATCCACGGAATGATCCAGTGAAATGGAAACCTTCATTCGAAACGATGGATCTTAGACGTTAGCGTTGATACACACTTTCTCG